TTCTCGTTATATGTACGTACATACATATGTGAACGTAAGTAGAGAGAATTTCTAGAACAACAAGTGTAGCTTAAAAAAGGCCATGACAATGACAATGACAGTGACAAAGCACCGTTCGTTAAAAAAGCTGCTAAACAACGTATTCTTAACATGCTCCAAACAAATCGGTTTATTATAACTTAAATAGAATTTTTACTTCGAAATAAGTAAGTCATCGTTTTTTCTTCAGCTTACAGATAAGTCTCTCCAATAGCACAAAATAATAATTGACGAACAGGTCTTTGCTTCAAAAACCCCACAAGGACTGATATTGAACATTATCTAAAATTAATTATTACTTTTTTATACTATTATTCTACAATCGTGGATTATCATTAGATTACTTAATCACCCACTTCTTTGGTACTCTTTCTAGGGTGATGTTTTGTCTATCGCTTGTATTCTTGAAAGTTGTCTGGTTGCAAAGCGTGGTCTAAATGAGGTTTTTAAAATTTTTATGATTTAATTGTTTAAGGTTTCGATAGTTTCTTGTAAAGAGGCTATGCATTTTCAAAAAATCGAATTCTGTTTCTGAAAATATTCTCCGAAAATTTGAGTTAATCCGGCAAATAGTTTCAGAGTTATTTGCGTATTTTTAAATTTAACTTAATATAAACGACTCCCCAAACTTTAAACGCCCTATTCTTGAAACGCTGTTTTCAGAATCAGTAAGAAAAATTTCTCCGAAACGACTGGACTGATCGATTCGAAATTTTCACACGACCTTCTTAGTGATACACATACATATGTCAGGTTATGATCGAGGGAATAAGATTTTTGATAAGATTTTTTTAAGTCATGCTGAGTGTAATTTTTTTTTACAATATACTTATCTAGTCTAGTAATATTTTTTTTTAGTTCTTAGATTCGAGATAATTTTAAGCAGAAAAATCTTCCTATTAGAGGTCCTTCTGGAGTTCGACTCTTGGATGAAGGAATATAAAATGTATCACTTGATTTTTTTTATGAGAACACAAGGAAACATTTTTGAAAAATAAATTTTTAGATTAAGTAACACAAATTACATTTTTACTTAAAAAGTTCTCTAGACTTGATCACTTTGAAGTGCATATATTTTCAGCAAATGCGAATATGTGAAAGTATGGAAACAAAATTATCTTATTTATTAAATCTAAATTGTGCATTGAACTATCTCAAGAGGTTTACTAATAATTCTACTTCTTCTACTTGTGGTATTAACTGCTATTAAAATATAATATATGCGCATCACGCAATGTGTTCTCATGAGAATTGATCTGAGTACATAGCAGTATAACCCATCGAAATTCTGCTCATAAATCCATTCAATTTCAAATGATTACCTATCCAACTAGATTTTACTATGCAAATTCGAACATAGTAATTAGCAAAATATATCAAAAATTTTACTGCTTTACTGGAGAGACCTTGAAATGCCTACGCTTTTCAGTAAATGTTTATGCATATATTATGGTTTTTATGTATGCCTAAAACTAAAATTAAAGTTTAAAGTGATTTATTTTTAATACTTTTTTATTTCGTTTTCTATACACTTATTTTGTTTGGAGCGCAAAATTAGGTAATATTTCAAAATGTTTTGCGCATTGCATAAAGAAGATATACTGAAGTTAATTTATATAAGTATTTCATATGCATAAAATAAATAACAAAATTTGTATACAAAGAAAAAATAGTAATAGTAATAGTTATAGGTTATTTGGCAGTAGCGCATGAAGGAAGTTACATACTTTGTATTTCATTTCCATTATGAACACAAACGAATATGGTAATACACTTAATTCTCCTCGTAATCATATTCATCGAGATTGTCATCACTTCTGTTGCGTATGATTTTTGTGTTATTGTTCACAGA